TCCCCTATATATATATATATATATATATATATATATATATACTAGTTGGATACCCGCACAATGTGACAGGATGTGAATGTTTTTTTGTAAATCGAAGGTATGACGTTTATGATCATTTTAAACTTCAAATTTTATTACGGTTGATTGACCGATGATTTGAAAAGAGAATTGCACGATTAACGGATTTCCAAACACACATAAATTATTATTCTTAGATTGTTTAATAATGATTTTCACTTAATGCAACTCATGATCAACAAAAAAAAACCAAAATTCATGTTTAAACAAGACGGAGATATGATCATCTAAAATAATATAAATCGACACATATAGCGTATGAGAAGATAACACTTGAAGCATCCATATGTAGATATACCTTGTAAGAAATGTCTTATGATTATAATAGATACATACCAAGCGTAGTTGTAAAAAAAGTGTAACAATAATTACTCGTTTGTACTTTATTAATCGCGTAAAACTTCTTGATACACCACGTTTGATGTGTAGACTCCGTCCCAATTGAATTTTTTGGCAGGCTTTACTAATACCTTTGTATTTTCACATGATGTCCCTCTTGATAACACCACATAAAGTTGTCCGTGAGAGAATACTGATTCTGGTAGATACACACCTACATTAGAAATGGTCTGTCCTTGAGCTTTATTGACTGTCATAGAAAAGCTAAGTCGGACTGGAAACTGTTTTCTCTTCAATTTGAAGGGGAACATGTTATCTTCAGATGGATAAAGAGAAATTCTCGGTAAAAATACTCTATTTCCAGCATGCTGACCAACAGCTATTTCTGCATCGATTACGTTCTGTTGAAAACCTCTACATATCAATTTGGTGCCATTACATAAGCCATTAGAGGGATTGATATTCCGCAATGGTATTACTGGGCATCCAATTTTGAGCCGGAGGTAATGCGGAGGCAAACCACTGACAGTCAGTGAGTTTAAGAACTCCATTGGATAGAAGTTATTTCTGTCATCTTCTGCTTCATCGAAACTATAGTAAACTTTTTCATCGCCGCAGAATCTATCAATCAACTGATCATTAATCTCGTCGACATTCTCATTTTTTGTTGATAATATCGCCTTCGAAATAATATAGTTTGAATCTGCTCCGTTGATTTGCAGAGATGGAAATATTGCGTCAATCAAATCATGCTTTGATTTATCTTTATCAGTATAGGCAATGGTCATGTCATCGAGAATATGTATAAAGCTTTCTTCCATCATTTCTTCATCTCCATCACCCACTCGTAATAGAAAATTTGAAAACCATGGATCACTTTGTACTCTCATATTGAGAGTTAAACGTATTTTTTTAATTGAAGACCAAAGAGGTGACATTCGTAGGCTTGAATCTACAATCTGTGCTCGGGTTCCACGTCTCACGACCGGTAAGACCTGTCTAAAATCACCTTCCATAACCATTATTTTTCCACCGAATGGTAGTGTCACCCCTGTGATGTCTTGCATTGTTCGATCAAGTGCTTCCACCGCTTGTCTCTAAGCCATTGACGCTTCGTCTCAAATGATTATTTTTGCATCCCATAGCAATTGAGCAGTCCTGCTTTGTTTTTTTTTTTTTATGTTGCACATGGAGTTGTTATCAAGATTAAGGGGAATTTTAAATTGGGAGTAAGCTGTTCTCCCCCTAGGCATATTATTAGCTGCAACACCTGAAGAAGCAGTGGCAAGAGCAATGAGACCACGAGAACGAATGTTGGCAAGCAATGCTTTGTACAAATACGTTTTTCCAGTCCCCCCTGGACCATCTATGAAGAACACTCCTGAACAATCATCGTCTACGTGCTTCATGATCTCATCGTATGCGTATTTTTGGTCGAAATTAAGGGATTCTCGTGCACGTAAATGTTCGTCTTTCACAATTATGGAGTATTCCTCTTGTACCTCACGAAAACTTCCAAATTGTAAGTTGGTATCTACATTTATCTTTGGAAGATTGAAATCATCAAGATTTTTACCCATAGATTGTAGAAAGCTTGTGATGTCAGATAGAACCATATTCCGAACTCGGTCAATACTTTCGCATTGTCGTCTATAATCTTCTAAAAGTGAATCGTAATGCTCATCCCACAACTTGCGAACATCTCCTGGCTCACAATAAATTAATATTGTCGCAAATAGCCTCCTTAGAGCTTTGGGAAACTGAAATAAAGAAGCCTTTGCAAGACATTGTGATAAGTTATCATCTGTCTCTATTAAGCCTCTCTCAAGTGCTGCTTTCCGGAATGTCGGGTGTAATATGTCATTGACTGTGAATAGATCTTTGAAAGATGTAGGCCCACTAATATGAGATAAAAGTAAGCGTAGGTAGTACCGCTCTCCTTCGTCGGGATTAGCATAAACCAATCGTCCTATCATTGATCCTTGTTTTCTCTGATTCCAACGACGTGCGCTCGCATTCCATGTCTAATGTTTTGGAAAGTATTTATATAAATGTTGTCTTGCACTCTCGTCTTCTTTATTTTTTGTCGAAAAATACAGTCAATGTTGTTCGTTTACCACTCTCTCTAGCAACAATATCTATCATTATATCATCATCTCTGAACCTAACCATCTGCTTATTAGGGAGATGGATTTGCAAAGCCATCACATAAGGTTGAATTTGAGAAAGCACAAAGCTAAAAATCCGCCACATTGCCTCCGGGGGGAGACATAACGCGCATTTTGAAACCTTTTAATCTCATTAATAACACTCTGTCCTTCGTCTAGATCTATATGCATAACTTGTTTATCATGACCCTTATAAATATATTTGAAGAGATATTTCACAAATGTTATACTTGAGCAAGCCTCAACATTAATATGACAGTTGAACATCATTAACAATTTTGGGTTATACGGGACAACCCATCTATTATTCAATGTATTGTCTCGTACATTCACATCTCTTCCAATAATTCTCCTCCGGTATAACGGATATGAGTTCTCAGCCTGTGATGTCTTATCGTTGAATTGTCTAGGATATCTAAAACGACAGATTTTCGGCTCACCTTGCATGCAAGGACTGGACGATCGTAAATGACCGCAAGGACCATGCATCATGTGTTGGACTACCAACTGGTGCATTTCAGGATACTTTGTAGGGTCAGGAATTTCACCACATACAATCTTGTCATAATGATCTGGATTGCTCATTTTTATCATCAGGTCTCATTATCATGAGAAAATGTGCATGCGACAATCCATTCTTCTGAAACTCGATGACATAAACATACGCCTTGACAGTGCCGAGGATCTTCTTCTGGAAGAGTTGGTTCTTGAGATCCTCTAATTTGGCACGAAAAATTCTTGCAACAAGGTCCGGTCGATCTTGTGCAGTCTGACTGGGCAATAGCTCTTTAAGGATTTCTGGCCATTTTGGATTACACGTCATTATAAGGAATATATCGGGTTTTCCGTCATCTTGAACTAAAGCCATAACATCCAAAAATCATCGCCGCATGTCACGTGGGCCTCCTATAAAACTTGCAGGCAACACAACTCGTTGTCCAACTCTACTTGGTTGAACTTCACCGGYATTAAYGCAATCCASAATGCCTTGATATAAATCCGCTCTTATCTTGGTTTGGTTAAGTTCACAGAAACGCAAACGTGAATTCTCGATCTTGATGTAGGTATCTACCATGAATTATTGTAGTAATCTTTCCCTCAATAGAATCACATTATCGTTTGAACGGATCTGAAACTTGTAACAATAGTATTCCCTTATAGCTACTATATTTCTACCCCTTCTTGTATAGGTCTCTGTGTAATGTTTTGAAACATTTAAACTAATGATATCTATGCATTCAAAACTAATTAGTTACTTCATATAATATATTAACATATGTGATAGAATTTGTACCTTCAGAATTTTCCTCCATGATTTCGTTGTCATCAACAACTTCACCGATAGGCACTCCATGTCTTGGAATTTTAGAATGTCACCCAGACTCACCTTTTGGAAAGAACAAAGGATAAGACAATGGATCGTAACAACCGAGGTGAGATTGAATTTCTTGGCTATAGTCAGACCTCCCGTATACAACAATACTTCTCTTATATGCAGTGATGTTGTCATTGCCTTCAACCCAAATACCAGCAACCTAAAGAATGTGATTATTTAATATAGTCTATACTATGTATCATATGTGTTTATAAAATAAAAAAGAAAATGTTTTTATTCAAACCTCAGATGTAGTCGGTCGGTTGTATACCCTCTGGTCAAGTTCCACCAATGCATTCAAAGTGACTCTATAATTGTCGAGTGGTCCTAATTCTGCAAGGCTTCGAAATGTTCTCACGTATGGATTCGTAGCAAGAACACGCGTCAACATGTCAATGATACTTCTATTAAGATTGGGCCATTGGAGTCTATGTAAAAACTCAGACTCAGCATCATAAAAATATAACTGTAAATACCTAGGTCGTCCATCCCTTGGAACTAACTGATCAATTTTATGATATACTCCTCCATGTGCACGAAAAGTATATACACCGTATGTCATATTATTCATTGTCTCATCCAAAGTTACACCCATCGATGTGAAAGATAAGTTCGTGTTTTATGCACGTATGTTGTGCCTAAACATTTTACCCAATTCAGATTGTGATGTGAAGAGATTGTATAATTCTTCGGGAATGGGAGAGTATGCTAACATTGTCTTCCCACTCATGCAGCAGAAGGAAGGGAATTCAAACTTAAATCGTTTTGCTCCGCAATGAGTACATGCAGGTTGTTCATTCAAAAGGCGATGTTCCTTAGGTATACGCCTGTAAATATAATCGTATGGATCTTCCTCAAGGGTGTCATTTCGGTTCGATGAGTTGGCAATGACCTCAGTAGAGGTTTCTACATCTAGGACATTTTAATGTAAAAATATGGTTAACATTTAAGAACTAAACCTATGTAAAAATGTAGTTATCATTAAAAAACTATATCTATGAATATAAGAATGTAAAAAATAAATTAAATAATAATTTACAAAACTATAAATGTTCTGTTGGAAAAAAATAAATTGCATCATATATGAAGTTACGATAATAAAAATTGATGCTTGAATATACATATTTAAGATATGGATTTTACCTGTAACATCCATAACTTCATTGTTCTCTATGGTAGTTGTCAATGTTTCAATGCTTGTATGTGGGTTACCAATTGTTGTTGTTATGTTTTTTCCTTACATCGTAGATAATAATTTCTATTATAAAGTTTCCCTTCTTTCAGCATGGGCTACTGCACTAACTGGTGTTGTATCCGCTGCAGCTAAATTGGTGACAGGTGTTGCACTAACTGGTTTGGTGTCCATTGCATTGAAATTGGTGACATGTGATTGACTATTTCTCTCAGCAAGGACTATTGCACTAACTGGTGTTGTATCCGCTGCAGCTAAATTGGTGACAGGTGTTGCACTAACTGGTTTGGTGTCCATTGCATTGAAATTGGTGACATGTGATTGACTATTTCTCTCAGCAAGGACTATTGCACTAACTGGTGTTGTATCCGCTGCAGCTAAATTGGTGACAGGTGTTGCACTAACTGGTATGGTATCCGTTGCAGTGAAATTGGTGACATGTGTTGTAGATTGACTACTTCCTTCTCCGTTAGCTAATTTTCGCCTTTTGTTAATATCCTTATGTCGTGTATAGTAGTCTCGATTGTATTGTTTTTGTTTTTCTGTAAGAATATGATTTTCCGTGAAATGTATATTATAAATGAGTATATCATGAAGACATAAATAATATAAAGTTAGTTCCATTTCTATATGCTACACATACTTTTCTTCAAATATAGATCAACTTGTGTAACAATACCATTGTCACCTTCATCGTCTACATCATCATTAACAATCCTCATTTTACACTGTAAAAATACATAAAATGAATAAAACATAATTTCTCGTTTATCATTATTCGTTATTTGGATGTTAAAAAAATCTATCTTTATCATCATCAAATACAATCACACCAAATACCAAATATCATCACCAAATGTAAACACACCAAATACTATATAAAGGTCATTACCAAAAGTTTATCATAACAAAAAACGAATAAAACATGATAATAGTCTTGATTCTCTACATATTTTTATATTTAATGATAGCAGTCTAATGTTATCCGCTTCTGGCATCTGTGGTTCGAACACAATTTTGGTTAACTCTGTTGAACTCAAAATATTCACTGAAAATTATATAAATAATATAAATTATTAGATTCATTAATTTTAAATAACGGTACACAGAAAAGATTATATAGAAATTAACTTATAGCGTACTTGACTGCTTATGGATAAGTTTAAGTCAAGATGCATATATTATATATTTATCTTTGATTGCACGAGCGATCCTTACAGGACGTGTACGTGGAGTGTCAATCAAATTCATCTTTATTATATACCCCCTGTTCATAAAATGAACGCATTAAAAATTTGTAATAATAAGTTAACTACATAAGTTAGATATGTGTGTGGTTGTGTATGTGTGTGGTTGTGTATGTGTGTGTGTGTTATTTAGAAAAATTTATATACATACGTTACATCTTGTAGAAAAATTTCACATGAACCAAATTGAAATATATGTTTATGACGTATATATGTTACTCGTCCTCCCGCGATGATTTTCCCAACAATATATGAACAATATTATTCATATGCTTAAAAGAATAAACAAAAATTATGGTTTAACAAAAAACAAAAAAAAATTGTAATTTTAATTGATAGTTTAGATGTATCAATAAGTATTTTCTTAGTGGTCTTATCCTTCGCAACAGTTTTAATTGACGGCACCAATGGATAGAATGCAAATTCACTTGCAATATCACTTGCTAATGGAGTAAGCTTTGTCGTTGGTATGACGGACAGTCACAATACATTTGTTCAACTTGAAAATGATCCAAAGCAAATACACCACCCACCAAACTCATTTTTCTGTATGACTCCAATAAACGGCGTAAGATAATTGCTACCATTTTGTCTCTCTATTATATTAAATATTTTTAATCATATATAAGTTACAAATCATAATTATTACAACTTCATATCAGATTGAATATAATTGACTTACATTTTTATCAAGTAAAATCAAAATTAATTTATTATCTTCGATGTCATTCCAAATGAACTCTACTCTGACAGTCGTCAAATTCCACCACACATGATGCTGATTGAGTGATGAAAATATTTCAACACAGCAACGGGAGTCCATTTTCTACATAAATATGTAACTTTATTTATATTTAATTAATCATATTTTACTAATAGAATACATATTAAAAGAATAAAGATTACATCCGGATACAACAATAATTAAAAGAATAAGAAATTATTTTTACATATTAAAATTGTAAAATCAAATATGGTTAGAAATGTCATAAAA